AATGAAAAAGATTTCATCAAAAAATTCCACCGAGAACCTCCCCAATTGGCGACAGCCGGGCAGAACCTCATATATAAGGGGCTAATTGAACACTTTAAGTTAATTCATGTACATATTACACCCTTTAGCCTAAAATTAACTAATACAGAGTAGTTTTTAAGGAAAAATCACTCAATGAATTTCGAATCACATCGTTCTTATGATACTCCGTATGTATTTCAAAAAATTATCCATTAAATAATTTCGAATCACATCCTTCTTATTAACTAATGAATTTCAAAAAATTATCTAATATGATACTCCGTATGTATTTTAGCCATTAAATAATTTCGAATCACATCGTTCTTATTTTTTTTATGTCAAATGAAATTGAAGGCTTACATAGGAATAAATTGAATCACTTATTATAATATTAAATTCCTTCTCGATTGAAGTTTTAGTTGAAATTTGGTATGAGTAAACTAGACTTAATGAATAAGATATGATGCTAAAAAAATTTCATCAAAAAATTTCACCGGGGATTGCCCCAAATGGGGTAAATTACATCGTACAACCGGCTGTACGGTGAGCACCGTACAGCCGGGTATTTTTGTAATTAGATCCGCTTCACTTGCTCGCTGCAACTCCATCGATGAAGGAATACGACCAAAACCGGCGTACTGAGCTTGTCTCTGCTTCCAGATTCTGGTATGATGTGCTTGTCTCCCTCCTTTGTGAGCGGTCTCACGTAAATAAAACTCAACCAATCTAATCTTTCCACTTTATGAATATATATATATAACTGCAAATATCAAATCATTGAACCCTTCGCCGACCTGATCTTCTTCGAAGCCTAAGGCTTCAAATATACGATAGTATAGGCTAGAGAGTCTACCATGTGTTATTAAGATGCTTTCTTAACTTGTTAGGAACATTACATTTATTATCCATTCCATTTATTATCCATTCCGAGAAATAGTAATCATAGTATAAATCCTATTAATAAAATATAAGGGCATTAAAAATGAGTTTTATGTTAAACTCAAATGAGTATAACACCCAAAATGAATGATCATACTCAAATGAGTTTTTGAATTTTTTGATACTCATTTTGTAAATTATGTATGTTCATTTGTTATTGCTTAACATGCTCATTTTAAAAGGGTACACATTTCAAACATATCATACTACATTACACTCAAATTAGAAATGAGTTTTGTTTTAGACTCCAAAGAGTATAAAGCTAACATGAATGAGCACATACGATTGAGGTTTTTGAAATTTTATACTCATTTTGTAAGTTATGTATGCTCATTTGGTACTGCTTTATACTCATTTTAAAAGTTTGCACATTTTCAACATATCATACTACATTAGATTCACATATTGAGATAAACTGAAATTGATTATAGACCTAATTTAAGACTTTTTAATAAACGAACACATAAAAAACATAAAGTGATATGTAAGGTATGAAGCAGAGATCACATTATAAGGTATACTCATTTGGTACTGCTTTATGCTCATTTTAAAATGATGGAAATATCAAATATAACGCCCAAAATTAATGAGCATACACAAATGAAGTTTTGAATATTTCGATACTCACTTTATAGATTATGTATGCTCATTTAACCATGTTTCATATTTCAAACGCATCATACTACATTGAATTCCGATATTGAAATAATAAACAAAATAATAATAAAAAGAAAATGAATTAGAAGATATGAAACACAAATTACTGGTGCTCATTGTTAGACCCCTAATACTCAAAAGAACAGACTCGATGCTCATCACAATCACATAATGAAAATCACTAGTGTTTATAATTTCAAGTTGATTTTCAATAAAAATGTCTTGATGTTCAATTAAAAGTACTTATGATTTTGATATCAATTCTCATTTTATAAGTTATTATGCTCAACGGGTATTCATGTTATGTTCATTAGTAAAATGACATTAGAATGCATATTTCAAAATTATCATATTGCATTAAATTCGCATACTGAAGTTCATAAGAGTTGATTATAGATATAATTAATAAGTTTTTATAAAAAAAATAAGGAAAAGAAAGTAAATCCGAAGAGATGAAGCAGAGATCACGATGCTCATTGTTATGCTTCTAATGCTCAACCAAATATGTCTCATGCTCACTAGACGTGTTTTAATGCTCATTTGGTACAAGACGCGAATTTCATGTAAATTACAAGAATGCCACCGGCTGTACGGTTCTCGCCGTACAGCCGGCTGTACTATATACGCTTCCCCCCAAATGGCGACGGCCGGACAGAGCCTCCTATATAAGGGCTTATTTGACATTTTTATGTAAGTTGGATGACTTATCTTACCCTTTTCCCAGAATGGTATATAAAAAATACTTCGTACGTAGTAAGTATATAATATGGAAATCTCTTACTTCTATTTTCACTTGGAAAGTTGGAATTCGGTAGTTAGATTCTCACATGTTATCAACTTTCTAAATTTAGACATTCTAAATTAATACTTCCTCCGTTCTTTTTTAATTGCAACAGTCAACATTTCACGTTTGCCAATGCACAGGTTTGACCATTAATATCTTTTATTTCTTATTAGTAAAAAAATTAAAAAAATTCATATTTTGAAAATTTAGAATGAGAAGAATGTAACAATATTTTTTAAATATTTAATTTATTATACATCAATTAATAAAATGTAGTCAAAGTAGAACATGTGAATAGTGCAAAAAGTCCAATGTTGCAACTAAAAGAGAACGGAGGTAGTATTTCACTTGAACGACTTTAACACCATTCACTCACTCTTCTTATGGTGGGCCTTTTAGATTAAAACATGTACACGTCGACTTCCAAGTTGGCTTAGTCTGTCCATCAAATTAGTGAATAAATTCCACTCAAACAAAGAATGTAAATAACTTCTTTTTGGCCCCACTACTCTCTTCTTTTAAATGCCCACATTATTGATTGGGATGAGTTTTGAAACGGTGACCTCCTCATTATAAATGTCATAGTGATCTCATCGAACCCCAAGGTGCTGTTTGGCATGTAAATAACTAAAAACCAAGAAATATTCATGCATTTTCTTTACAACTAAGATTTGATCTTTATTTTATGCATGTGGCTATGTACGTAACCCGTATCTTTTCAACAATTCTTTCATACGGAGTATGAGATTAAATAAGTATTTCCTACTTTTCCTAAACCAATTGAGACATTCTTAATTACTTTTGCCCGTCAAAAACTTACGATAGTATCTTAGAGCATCTTTAATGCAATGCTTTCTAGTCTAAATAAAGTATGCCAAATGTCAAATAATTAAATGGGTTTCTAATACACATCATACAATGTCAAATGACTAGGTTTTGAACTACGGAACAAGCCTCCAACCCACAAAGTCTTCCTACCCAAATTTTAGTATATTAACTTTTTATCGACACGCTGCTTACTGCAATTCTGCAATCCATCAAGGATTTTAAAGCTACCAATGATTTTCGTGTTCTTCATAGTTAATAGGTTTATTTGAATTATTATGAAAAACTCAAATCTGGATTTATTCTGAATCTCATACACACATATATGTATAGTAATATGCTATAATCCCTGTATAAACCACAGAAGGTATTCGAAAACCGCCGGACAGAAGGTATTTGGGTGCTTTGCAGAAACAAATTGAATAAAACAAGAGACCCACCACAATGCAACTTTTAATTTTTCTTTAATTTTTCATCAACAACGCATATTCTTATTGGTTTTGGTCCAGTCAGCAAGTTTACGGTGGTGTCTATGCTCGCAAGTTCTCTTTGACGGTGTCTATTATTTTTTTGTCCAATTCAGCAAAACTGAATTAAACACTACGTGCGTTGGAGTCCTTCATAACCCCACAGTGTCTATTATTCCGAGCTGGCGTATTTTTTCTTGGACTACACAGTACGCATTGCGGATGCTCTTATACAGAGGTCCTTTTTAATAGAAAAATTACTCCAATCAAAAAATTATCTAATATGATTTGTAATATTCTCCCATAATTAAAGATGGTACTACAAATGTCACGTTTGGACATTCTCAATGTCACGTTTGGACGACTCTAACCTCACTTTTCACATGCATGGTGGGCCTTTCAGATTACAGCATTTACACTTCGACTTGTTAAGCTGGCTTAGTCTTTTCAACAAATCAATGAAAAAAATCCAATCAAACAAAGAATGAAAATAACTAAAAAAAACAAGAAAGGTCAATGCATTTTCTTTAGACATAAGAGGTGGTCTTTTGCACATGCTGTTATGTAACCTGTATATTCCCAACAAGCATTTTGTAATCTTTGTCCTAAATTAATTGAGACATTCTTATTTCTGTTCGTCATAAAATTAACTTATACAAAGTACTTTTAAAGGAAAAATTACTCCTTTAAAAAAATTATCTAATACTTGTATGATTTTTTTTATTCTCCCATAATCAAACAATTTCTAATCACATTGTTTTTATTTTTTATTCTTCTGTCCTACTCCTTCCACTATATAAAACATGGGCAAATTTGACTTGTATGTGGACTAATAAAATAAAAACTACTATATACGGAGTATGTGTTTGATATTTGTATAACAGAAAGATAACTTTAATTAACTACATATTTCTTACTTTAATTGGAATTGGCAATTTTTTTGCAATGGCCAAATAAAAAAAATTACAAAGTTAATTGAATAACTTATTTTAATTCCCACCTTCTTTATTACTTGTAGTTCAATTTCGTTCACTTTTCTTGTGGGCAAGTACTTGAATTTAGGGACGGTCCGAAAAGGAAAGGAGAGCTTTTTATTTAGGGACGGTGAGAGTATATTTTAATCTAAAATTTATCCCTTGCCATGTACTCAATCCATAAACTTAAAGTAAATTAAAGTATTCAATTTAGTATGTGTCACTAACTCACTAAGAGTCTAAGATGAACCCCTCCCCTATAAAACAGCACTCTGACCGAAGATACTCTGATCTAATACTTACTCCACAGACATTTTTTGTTAAACCTCTCAAGGCCCCAACCAGAAATAAATTTAACCTTTTAATTTGCAACAATGGGGAGTGAACAGGGATCAGAGGATCAGTGCTTCAAAGAACCATTGTTGGAGGAGAAAGAAGAGAAAGGGTATTATGAGAACTGCCCAGGGTGTAAGATGGAGCAGCAGAAGCACTTGCAGAGAGGTGTTCCCATCAAAATGCTCATCACCCTTTGGACTATTGTCTTTTGCACGGGTATGCGTTATTCACATCATCACTACATCAAGACATCATATATGTGCATACTCTCTCCCTTTTTTAAGAGCTCCTTTGGTAGCACGAGAATTGACTGATTTGGCTGATTCTGCTGAAATTTATGACGTTTTGGCTGACGTGGTTGCATTGGCTGATTCTGTTGATTTAAGAATAAATCATTTTTAAAATATTCGTTTTTAATAAAATAAAGAAAAAATTATATGTATAAATAGTTAAAATTGTCATCTACAGTAACTTCAGCCAATGCAGCCAACAAAGTAAGTAACTTCAACCTTACTTTTTCTGCTTATTGCACAATTCAGCGCGCGAAAACAAAAGTTACGTGTTTGGTGAAAATGTTGGCTGACAAGCCTGATAAGCCGAAAAACAGTGTTTCTAAACGGCCTCTAAATATATAGAAATAATTACATAAATATGACCAAAATAAAGATGGTTTACAAAAATATGACTAGTTACTAGAGTAGTAATGAAATCATAGTAATTCATGTTCAACTTTTGAACTTAAGTTACCACAACACTACGTTATAGTAATGAATAGTCATATTTATGTAAATAAATTTTATTTTAGTAATATTCTTGTAAAATCCTCAAATATATACTTTTTCCGTCTCAAATTGATCCAGAATTTTTACTTATAAAGCTAATCGACAATAAAATTAAAAATTCGTTTAATAGAAACTACATTAAAAATCATAGTCTCTAAAATATAAAACAGAATGTGATACAAAATTCATGTCAAGAAAATCTAATGAAACTGTGTTACGGAGTATTTGTTTTTGTTTTTAGTAACTCTTTTCTTCTTTTCACATCTCTACATATACTCTGTATTATTCTACTTTTTTGTGTCTTGTTTCATACTCTATTTGTTCCATAAAATTGGACAATTCTCCAATTCAACAAAAGTAATAAATATGTCGTTAGTTATTTTTTTTTATCTGCATAAATATCAAATACATAATTTTTAATTTATTGTTTCACGTTGATATGCACTAATTAGTAGTGCATAAGTGTATGTTTTTATGTTTGATTTGTGTGTATTGTTTATCGTTTTATTTAGTTTGTAAACATTTATGTGATTTTAGTTGTAATTGTATTTTAATCTTCATTTGTAAGTTGGAAAGTAGAGTTAGTATTTATGGTGTTGGAAAGGAAGAGTTTGAAGTGAAGAAAAAGGTGATAAGTGTGCCCAGGAGCACAAACCCGGTCGGGTTAGACCATGCACCCGGTCGGGTCTGATGTAAAATCCGAAACTGCCTGGAAAATCATCAGACCCGGTCGGGTCCCCTACTTGACCCGGTCGGGTCAGACTTGACCCGGGACACCAGAACGTGCCGAAGATCGCCAGAACGTGGAGGATATCTGATTTTGACCGGACCCGGTCGGGTAAGCACCTAACCCGGTCGGGTACCCGGCCCAAGGTGTTGAAAAACACCTATAAATAACCCCATTTTCCTTCACAAAGGATCATCCCTTCTTCCATACTCTTAAGCTCAGTTTAGAATAGTATTTCTTTTATATTTTTATAGCATGTTTAGTCTCCAAATGAGGAGCTAAACTTCCATTTCTTGGTGTTGCTCTTGAAGCTTGTTGATTATTAAAGTTGTGAGTTATTTTCTTAACTTCTTTCCTTGAATATTAATGCTTCTCTTAAATACTATTTCTATATCAATGTTGGGGAGTGTTGCTAAGATGACAATTAGTTAACATCTTGACATTGGTCTTAGTAATAGCTATTCCTTCCTCTATGTTAATATTGGGGAGTGTTACTAAGATGACAATTAGTTAACATCTTGATATTAACTATAGTAGGATTCATTTTCCTTAATATTCTTCCTTGAGTATTAATTAATTCCTATTCATATTTCATATTAATATTTTTGAACATTACTTAAAGGATCAACTAGCTAGTTTTGTTTCAAATATTAATTATTACTAGAAACGATCAACGAACCGATGGTTAATCGTTGATGGTTTCACAAGTAAGTAACTTCGGTTTATTAATGCACGGTCGTGGTTAGTAAACTTAAGAGGGATTAATTTTGTTGGTTAAACCGAAACCGTTGTGTTGAGGTTATCAATTTCAATTGATTTCATCAAGGAGTTAAGAGATTAAATGCTACTATCAAGTAGGTATATGGCGTTGTTCTATACTTGACTAATAGTAAGGGTTATTAATGAACGGTCGTTGTTAATAACTTTCCTCGATGAATTGGATATACTCCTCGATTGAGTATTCGAGAGGAGATAAGTTATAGATATAACAATGATCGACTGAAATATATCAACAAGTGGAAAGTAGCAATGCCAAGTCCTTGTTATCTTTGAATTAAATCACATATAATTCGTTCATCTTCGTGTTTAATTTAATTAAATCATTCAACCCAAAACCCCCCTTTATTTACTCCTTTCGTTAAAAAGATAAATTATTCCTTTCCCTGTGGATACGAACCTTACTACACTATACTACGTATTAGTGTCGTATTGATTATTATTTTGAGTGCACACCACGACAAAGTGCACGTCACACGTCCAAGTCATATTTGATGAAATATTACTGGACAAAAAGAGTACTTTTTGTCTACTCTCACACAATTTAGAAATGTTAACAATATTTACTACTCATATTGATTATTATTTTAAACTCTCAAAAAACTTATAGAAGGGTATGATAAAATACAATTATACTCATGAGCTGTATACAAGGATGGAGCCACATACAAGGATGTGGTGTCAATTGACACCACTATAATGTTTTTTGTAGCTATATATAGTGATATATTTTCAAAAAATTAATTTGACACCACCTATATAAATGGAATGATTGTCAATTGACATAACTCAAATATTTTTTTGTAGTTATATACTCTCTCCGTCCCATAAATAGTTCTTGCATTGAATTGGATCAGAGTTTAAGAAAATGGAAATAAAGTGAAAATGTATGGTTGTAGTTGTGTAAAAAAAATGTAAATGAATATGAGTCACACAAAACTTTCCAAAAGGGGAAATGTGAACTATTTTTTGTGACGGCCTAAAAAGGAAACCGGGAACTATTTTGCGGAGGGGGTATATAAAGGTATATTTTCTAAGTTTTAATTGAACAACACATTTATAAACGAAATGATGATGTGATTTTCCTAGTTTGAAACCTGAAAATATATATATATATATATATATATATATATATATATATATATATATATATATATATATATATAATGATAGTAGAAACCGTATTTATCAATAAATTTATTTTTAATATCATCATATCATGCCATAGAAGTGGTATTTAGTTTAGAGTTTCATCTAAGAATAATTGATTATATCTGTTGAAATTGGTGAAATTGTGACTGAAACGGCTAATTTAATTAAATATGATGAACTATGTTAAATTTATATTTAAATATACTTTATTGATTAAATCAACAAACCTTTCGAAGAAAATTAAGAAAATGTAAGGTCAGAAGAAGTAACTCCAACCTCACATAATTCTATTATATACAATTCACCACTCTAAATCAAAAGTTAGAGCTTTGCAAAAAAGTTAACTCATCATCACCATAAGCCGAGAATAGAGATGCCAAACAAGTTCTTAATTTTTTTTAGAAATAAGACTAATAGAATAAAAGGTATATATACGTTTGAAACACACAAGTAGGGGTGTTCAAAAACCCAAAAAGGCATAAAATTGGACCGGACCATATACGAACTAGCCACGTAAGTTCAATACAACTTGCCTTTTGTCCATTTAGGCATGTCTCCACGTTGTTCCTAAGCCGGGACGGATCCAGAATTTAAGGCTAAGGGGCAAAAAAAATCGCTAGTGTAGGGCTGACCCCTACACTAGCTCGGACAGCCTTCCGCCTCTACCAAAATCCATAAAAATACCTAAGAGGGTCTGCCCATATGTCACAAACATTTAAGTGTGACATATGGTTTTTTGGCCGGATTTTGAGTGGTACCGACGTATAAATATTTACATGTAGTTGTGGTTCTGGTTCGCTTTATTTAAGAGTTAAACTACCAAAATGTAATAATACCAAGATACCACTGTACCACTTATATGCATTTCCCCTAGTGAACTCCCATGCTTAACTTATCGTGTTGCTTCCCTCAAAAAAAATCCTGTTGCTCAGAGTTGATGTATGCATTAATTGTATGATGCGAAGATGAACAAAATTCTTCTTCTTTTTCGTGCATGTGTTATTGTTTGTGTGCCTCCACCTTTGCAGCACTCCCAATATCATCTATCTTTCCCTTCCTTTATTTCATGGTAAGTTGCACATTTCTCTAGCTCTCATTTTATAATGAAACCGATTTGAGGGAGTCCAATGAATCTTATACCTATATGTTTTTTGTGATGGCAGATAAGAGATTTCCATGTTGCAGAGACAGAAGAAGATATTGGTTGCTATGCAGGTTATGTAGGTATGCAGTATGCTAATGTTTTGGCCGGAGGATATGATTGAACAATAATAATAATATTAATTAATAATAATAGTTCGTACCCCCTCTGTCCCTAATACTTTGCTTTACACATAATTTAAGAAAGGAAAAATGTTTGACACTGTATTGTTTATCAAATTAGGAAAATGTACATTTTTAGAGACAACCCGAAAGGGAAAGTGGGGTATTTATATATTTAGGGACGTAGGAAGTAGCTAGTACCCCATTTTTGTTGTCTTACTTACCTATTCAGGTTGTTTCAATTCAAAATGAATGTCATGTGTTGTTTTTTAGTACGAAACTTAACCATTTTATTCATATCATTTCACTTTATTATACTTAAACTTAACCATAATTTTTTAATTTTTCAACCATTTTATTAATTTTTGTGACCAACTAATACTTCCTATAAGAGCAACTCCAACAAGCACCATCACCTACACCAAAATGGTGTATTTGGCAAAAAATTGCTCCAATAGTCACACCATCCCTTACACCATTACACCATTTTGGGGGAGAGGCTTTTACTTTACACCAAATATGGCGTACATCATATCTCACGCCATCCTCTTTTTTAATTTTTTTTTATTTCAAATGTGACCCAAAGTTTTGATTGTTATAGTTTTGACCCATTTTTAAAACAACAAATTAGTATGTTTTTACTTGGACTGAAATTTGTTGGTCTGCTCTGGTCTAAACTGATGTGGCCTGGTCTGATTTCTTTGTATTTTTATAACTACCCAAGTCTAGTCTAAACCGGTCTGATCTGATCTGAGACAAATTACAGTCCAAGTAAAAACATCCTTATAGAACAACAATTTAAAATTATTAATTTGATAGGAAAAAATATAATAAAATTTAAATCACACAATATTATAAATATTTAATTTTATGTGGTTTTAGCTTGTACTTGTGAAATATTGATTATTGTATTTTAATTAGTAAAATGCCTGAAAATAAATATTAAAATGGTGTATTTTAGTTTGTATGTGTGAAATAATGTGCGAAATGTCAAAATATTAAATGAGGGGCTAATGTATAAATATATGATAATTAGATACTTAAATAGAAGAATGGTAAAAAGTTAGTAAAAAGAACAAAAAGAGAATATTCCTTTATGGTGATGAAAATGGTGTAAACTGTTGGAGATAAAATACTGTTTGATGTGATATTTACACCATTTTAGTGTAAAAAATGGTGTAAACTGTTGGAGATGGCCTAAATAGCTAGTACTATTTATGATTAACCATATTTACTAGAAAGAAAGTTTTTTTCATTTGTCTAATGATATTGCATATACGTGGTCTAAATGCATAAAGGCTCGGCATTCATGCTTGGAAGGGCAGCTACGTCTTTATTTTGGGGGTTGATTGCGGATCGATATGGTCGAAAACCAGTTATTATATTTAGCACTATTTCAGTGTAACTTTCATCGAAACCTCTCATCTAAATTTGATTCATTTTATATCAAGGTGAAATGAGAAACTATTATTTGATATTGCTATGTATTAATATGGTCTCAGGGTGATTTTCAATACTCTGTTTGGTTTTAGCTCAAACTTTTGGATGGCAATCATTTCCAGATTTCTTCTTGGAAGTTTAAATGGTTTGCTTGGACCAATCAAAGTATCCTATTTACTCTAATTTACTTCAACTTAATTAATGCTCTATGTCAAATTGTCACCTGACGTTATTGATTGTCTAGGCATATGCCGCAGAAGTTTTCCCAAAACAATACCAATCCTTAGGACTCTCAACGGTAATATTTACTTATTGGTATTTATAGTACTCCGATCCGTACAAAGTTATTAATATTATGGAGTATATAACAACAACAAAATTTCTTGTACACACAATATTACACATGTCTAGATGATGTGTAAGATGGTGTGTACAAAAAAATGTACACAAACAGTTTTTCGTATAACAAATACTCCATATATTGAAAAAAACAAATACTCAATTTGTCTTATAAATTTCTTTTCACTTTCCTTTATTAATATATGTCCAATTTGTTTTCCTCATTTTCGTTTATGGTATGATTTAATTTGTGATCTGAGGTTAACATTCTTCCTACTTTTTTTACATCAACTGCAACATACATTTCCGCTTCATTGATAATAATTTACACTTGGAGGGAAAATTTGGGACACATGTAATACTATATTTTAAAGAGAGTGACTTGGTGAGATTTAATTTGGATGGTTTAACATGTGCCTTAAATGATAATGGTCTGGTATACAGGGTTACCATATTTAGGACTTGGTAAGATTTGGATGGTTTACCATATTTAGAGTTTGTATTTCATCCTAATATCTATTTGTGTTAATGACTTATCAAAAATGTTTTTTTCTATGGTTTTAGGTTAGCACAGCTTCAGGTATAGGGCTAATTATTGGTCCAGCTATAGGAGGTTTTCTTGCACAAGTAAATATTGCTTAGTCAACATCATTTTCATTGTTTTTTTTTTTTTTTTTTGTGAGATCTGATCTGTGTACTTTTGAACAAAGCCTGCTGAGAAGTATCCGTCATTGTTTTCGGGAAATTCTTTGTTTGGAAGGTAAATCAATTCTCTCATTTTATCTTGTATCGTTCTCAATATTAATTGATATCTTCAATGTTGTTAAGACATGAGTTCCATGGTCAACCTCATAGAAAGATGTTAGAGTCTGAATTCTTAATATAGTACTTTATTATTCACATTTTACCGGTGTAGGTGAGATATACTACAATACATACTTCCCTCACTTCTTCAAAATCGTGTCATCATTCAACTCGAAGTTTCATCATAGCTAAAAGATAAACTTCAAAGGAGTGGCCTAAATTTTAATATAATATGTAGTACTATTTTATTAATTCATGTTTTAATTAATGCATGTCTTTATGCAGAGGAGTGGCCTAAATTTTAATATAATATGTAGTACTATTTTATTAATTCATGTTTTAATTAATGCATGTCTTTATGCAGATTTCCCTACCTCTTGCCTTGCTTGTGCATTTCAGTTTTAGCATTTATTGTGACGGTTTTTACATTTTGTTTGCCGGTAGACCCTATTGCAAAAACTCAATAATAATATATCAATGGTACTTCTCTTTTCTTTGTTTTGACTTTTGACTTCTCAACTCGTGCATGTAGGAAACAATGCACCGACACGATTCAACTGATCCTTCATCTGGTCATCATTCGTATAAGGCTTTGGAGGCTGCATCTCAAGTTGCTAGTGAGGAAAACATATCGACCTCGAAAAAGAGCATTCTAAGAAATTGGCCTTTGATGTCCTCCATTATAGTATATTGTGTATTCTCTCTTCAAGAAATGGCTTATACTCAGGTATTTTTATACATATATGTGTGTCTGCGTGTTTATACGCACATACTCTCATAATATGTTATCCAATAGTGTATATTATGAATTCTCTTTCACAATTAGCTGCTACGTATTATATATTCTTGAATTCCCAAATAGGAATATTATGAAGTACTCCATAATAAAGTGTTATATTAAGTCAAGGGTTACTTCTCATTTCATGTTAACATGTTAAATGGAATCTTAATTCTTAACATGGTATCAGAGTCAATTCGATCAATAATCATGGTGTGGGCCCCTATGAAAATGACAATGATTATTAAAAAATGACAAAGATGAACCGATGAAAAAAAATGAATGATGGCATGATCCAGACGAAGTGTCTAGTCGTGAGGAGAGGTATTGCAGTCTCACACCGGAATAGACATAGAACCAAAAGAAGTGTCTAGGAAAGAACTTTCATAGAACAGAACAAACACAATACCAAAAGAAGAACTGTCCAGTTATGTCATACCAGCCCCTATCAAGAATCTCCGAGAGGTGAAGTCACCCGAAAGTCTGAAACAGGGTGACGAAGAAAACTCCAGCCAAGCCGGTGAGAGAGCCGATGAACGGCAACTTACCATCCCAGCCTGGTTTTCAGACCGCCTACTCATAATCTAAGATGAAATAATTTTGTAATTAGAACCTTTATTAAACATAGAATATCTATTTAACCATTAATATGAAAGTATGGAGTATTTTAGATCACGGCACTTCTTTTTATAAATAAAAAATAATCTTATTAAATATTACTACGTATATACTACGTTACGACACCGCCACGGCGCCACACTGGACCACTCTTGAATATATTAAGCTACGCTAGTAAAATTAAATTTAAGAGAGCAAATTAAAGTCCAAACATTAATGATTAATCTAGCTATTAATTGGTATAAAATATTCGTAGTATTTGTTTCTACAGATATTCTCTTTATGGTCTGAAAGTCCTCGAAGACTTGGAGGATTAAATTATTCTTCAGATGATGTTGCAATGGTTCTAGCAATCTCAGGTACATAGCCACCTACTTTAATTAGCTAAAACATAAAAAAATTAACGCATTTCATTAATATTTTTTCTCTTACAATGGTCACATTATTTGTAATTATTTAAAGATCGTGTTTATCATATATTCACATGCTTATTAATTAGGGAGGAGGGAGGCTAGGGTAGTTGACCCATGAAAGTCTTATGAGCACGTAGAACATTGAAATTGTTTCAATATTTCATAAGTCTAGTAATCTATTTTGAAAACTATGAACATTAAAGATTTTGAAAGAGATATAAAATTCGAGATATTATTTGTGCTGATTTTTAAGAACACTGAACTCATTCAAGGGAGAACATTTACATACACCACACACATGGGAATCTTTTACTTGAATATAATAATAAGAATAATTTATCTAATTAATAATTATGCGCCGTCAAGTTTCAATGAACTGGATCACAAAAAGAACCCTTTCTAAAAAGCCGACTCTCAAGAAAAAGACCCCTCTAACAAATGACCCTCTAAAATTCTTTCCAATTATACCCCTGGTTTTTTCATATCAAGAATAAGTATGCAAATTTAAAAGTAGGTATAGTAGTGACATGTGACTATTAAACAATGACTTCTTTTTGCACAAACAATTTCTCTTTTTGAAGAGGTAAACTTCATTTTGGGATGTAGGAGTACATTAAAGGAAATTAAGATTTTTTTGAGATATCTCTTAATTAGTGGGGTAAGCGCTAGTGACGAGTTGTGAAAGTCACGAATATCGTCTCACGAGAAAGTGTATATGAAAAATTAAATGTGAAATTAGTCTAGGAATCTAACATGTAAGCTAACTAAATCGATGTATGTTTGGTTAAAGAAAACAAGTAAATAACAATGAAAACAGATGAAAAAACAAAAAACAAAACCATGAAAATAGATGACCAGTTAAACTAGAAGGGAAGCAGGGGCATACAAGGAACAACCTATGATTGATGACAAGAGGTCAAAATGGGGATCCTTGAGAAAGTGCGTATTCATGCAACAAAATGGATAGGTACAAGTTTCTTTATCACTCATAGTCAAGGGCTTCTATTGGCCACACTAATGGTTCAATAGTGGTCTGAACTCTGAAGTCATACAAAGAAGAGCAATCAATAACTTCTCCCTACCTTCTCAATTCTCATGGAAAGGAATCCTACAAGTCTCCTAGAGAGTCCAAAACACCATCTAAGAATATTGTGACCATCAAAGTCTTAGAAATTCAAAGAGCCATTTTCACAAATGTGCATAACATATTTCTCAAGTTCCCCCAAATCAAACCCCAAAATATCTTACATCACATGGTTGGATGATCCTTAAACACTCACAAATATCTAATCCCACTGCTCACTCGTGCTAAATTTCATGTTCATATAAGAAACATAAGACATGGACATGAAGTGACACAAAGGGACGAGTTTGTAAAAACATGATAATAATGCAATCTAATGGATCAAATGAAACTAGAATAGAGATTAGATGCAAATAATACTAAGAAATGAAGTACAAAAGAGTCGAAGGATGCTTACAACCAAAACTATAGTTTGCAAGAAAAAATCTTGTCCAACAACTATGAAATTCAGAATAAGTGATGCTATATATATATATATATAGAGAGAGAGAGAGAGAGAACATCGGGAAGGAACGTCTTCTCTTTAGGAGGAACGCCAAGAGGAACGGTGTTCCTCATCGATGTTCCTACCATAACACAAAATTTGCTCTCTAACAGAAAGTTTGACAGTGGTAGGAAGTTAGGAAAGGTGAAGGGGAAGTTGTTCATGAAGGAATTCTGGTAGGAATGTCATTCTTTGTCGGGTTTCCTACACATGGAACTTTAAAATGGAAATCTGATCGAACGAAAAGGATCGGAGGAACGCCTTCCCATGTGGCGCTACTATCGCTGCTTCCACTAAAACACCTCCATCATCTTTGTTTCTTGCTTCTTTGTGCTCCACTTCATCTTTAGGGTCTTCAAATCATCCATTTATGCTCTCATATCTCTTCAAAATGCTCAGTTTTCACCCTAAACAATGCCCAAATCCTATCTGTGTGGTTCCTACAAACCAAGATATTACACAAGTAAAACCAAAATGGGAGAAAAATCACTAAAAGTTGACATAGACCAAAATTTATGAGAAAGTATTAGGTGTTTTCACACCTATCACCCCTACAAATGAGAGGGCGGGTGCCCTGGAAGTGATCCTTTTAATTTTTAAATATTGTCTGTTTCTGCATAGACATTTTGTACTCTCTAAGATGAATTTTTTTAGGCTTCAATCTGATCCACATACGCATGCAAAAGTTTGTTGCTTACTCTAATGGTTGAATTTGAATCAATTACTTGACATGTGGATTACAGGGTCAAGTGTTCTAATCTTTCATCTGTTTGTCTATCCATTTGTCGAGAGAACTGTTGGCTCTGTGGTGGTGTCTCGACTCGCGGGCGTAAGTGTGAATTAAACAAACTCAACATTATTTTTAGACTATTATTATTAAGGAGTCATTTTTAATATATAACTTTAAGTTATTTTATCCATATATTGTTACATACAGATTGTGGCAATTCTAGTGCTAACAAGCCACCCTTACATTGCAATGTTATCTGGGAGCATCCTCACTTATGCGTTAAATTGTGTGTCTCTCTTAATGAACATTTTAATGGTAAGTAATTGAGTGAGCTTCACTCTGTAATAAATTTGAACCTCTGAATGTCATACTTGCATTGATTGTATAACAAATTTGATGTATAAGAACATCAACCGTAAAAACATCCAAACCTTAATCCAACAAGAGTTTAGGGTCGGATCACGTGAGTCGACATATAATGTCAGGGTTTGAAATTAAATAAGTGGAGAAAGAGGGTGACAAACAATAAATTAAAAAGTCAATCATCTACTATCTCCGACACTTATTAATTACTTTGTCATCTTTAACATTTCAAGTCATTGGTGGTATGATTTTATGAAAATTATAAATTGTATACTTTTATGAAAGTATTTTTGATAAAAAAAAAACATTTCTAAATCATTTTTGTATTATAAGTAATTTTGTATAAAAGCATAGTCAAAGTTAAATTTTGATTGACCGAAAAAATCAAAGGTGGCATAGTTAATTTTATGGGATGGGGGAGTACATGAAATATCATACCATTCTTGGCCACTCTTATGTACGGAAAATATATAGAGCACGCTAGCGTCCTCACTAAGGGGCATGATGGCGTGATGGATTGTCAAGATTCTCTAAATATTTTAGATGAATAAATCTTAGTCATTATCATGCCAGCGTGCTCACTAAGGAGCACGCTAGCATGCTCCATAAATCAGAGGAAAATTATTTTAGTACTGGCCACTTTAATCCATGTCTATTTAGGGCCTCCTTACCTTTCAATAAGTCTAACAGTTTCATAACTCGGTACTCTACATACATGGCTAAATAAACTTATTATAAAGAAGGCAAGATATACTTAGTATTGATATTGTATTTGCATCCGGTGGTGGAGCCATAAATATTTCCTAAGGGAGGCCAAAGCATAAAAAATATATACCTTGGGGCCAAAGCTTTATATTTCAACACATGTTTTTAAAAATTTTATTCAAGGGATGAAAGTGTCACTTAGATGTGGAAAAAGGAATGAAAATAGGTCATGTAGTTCAAATAAAGGGATGAAGAAGAAACTCTATCCTATTGGTCGTAGATTAGTGGATCGCGGAATCAAACAAATCTCATGCATTGAGATAGCTAGGTTAGATAGCATTCAAGTTTAAACATGACTCGTAGAGAGTGGCCAGAATATGAAGTTCTCTTCTTTATTTTTTATTTTGAGGGTCAGCCGATTCTAAAGTGCTTTCGTAAACCACTTTCCGTTCAGTTGCTGAAAGAGATAGAAATAAGGCTTTCTAAATGAGATTGAGTTCTCAGGCTATCAAGATGGTATTTGCTACTATTCTATCTATTTGTGTACAAGTTCAAAGAAAATCTTAATTTATAATAAAGAAATGATAGTAGTTCGTTGTTTTGATTATTTCATATATAGGGTCCGGTTCTAATGATGATTGTTTTTCTCGTGATAAATGAAATGATGCAAAACAGTGCACATTGAGGTTCATGAAATTGCACATTTCGAGTTAAAATAGTCCACAATTCGCAACAACATAAAAATCTCACTTTATTTACAAAAGTGTCACTATGTCTTTTCATTCATAGTAGTGCACATTTCAATTTCAGGAAATGCATAATTCTTAAATTCAACGCTCTAGATTCATTATTATTTCTCTCTTTGGTCATATTTTCATTTGAACCAAATTATATGCATATAAGGGATCAAATACAAACACCTCCTAGTGGCATGTGATGGTTGATCTAAAGACTATAGACACATAACACACGGTGGCATTTTAGTAATAACATCAAACTTTTTTCGGATCCAACACTTTGAATGTTAATATGCAACTAGTTATTTCATTGTAGAATAATGTGCAGCACTTTGAATGTTAATATGCAATACAAATGTTGTAAACATGCATCGTGGAAATATTTGCACAATAAGCATTATATTATGTATACATCATCCGCCCCTATGTATATACTAGAACAAATTGGGGGATGAGGCCTCTTCTAGCTTCTCCAGGGCACGCTCCATAATTATATACATTAAAAATTAGATGATGATGTATAAATTTTAACATTCAAGGTTCTTTTAAGAGGTGCAATAGGTGTTTAACACTGGGACCCACTTTTATAGGGTCTCCAATTTTTTGTGGGTAGTAGTAGTTATAAGTTGATTTTTCTAGATGTTTTGTATTATTCCCGAATCCATATTTCGAAAGGTATATAACTTTTAGATTATCGATTTTGTGTACTTTAAATATTATAAACTTAGAGTACTCTTCCGGTCAGGAATTCCTGACCGGAACCGCCGTCCGGACGGCGGCGCCTTCCGGGTGGAATTTTTCGATGAAATTTTTATGACATGTACTCCGTATTTCACTGAACTATCTAGTCCGTTTATATTTCATAGTTAGGTTTTGTATCTTTCTTGTTTTAGGAGGCCTCAGTTCGTCATTTGGAACCGAGGCTACTTTTAGTACCTCCACAAACTATATCTTGATATGAATATTTGCCTTCAAGAATTTTACATACCCTTGTATAGGATATGTTTTTGTCACTTTTAATCTTTCAGACTCAAGTTCTCTAAGTGTTGTGTTATGCTCAATCTTTTACTTTACTTTTCACTTTTAGCTATTTGGCTATTGTAAATTTGTGAAAAGAGATCCCTTTTAGTTTGCACTAGCTTTCATTTTTGTTTTTTGTTAACTTTTTTCACTTTTTAGCTACAGTAAAAGTGAACTAAAACTCTGGTCCTCCACATGTTGTGATTCAATTAAAAAACGTGAATTAATTAAAAGAAAAAAATTGAAGGCTGATGTCATATATGTTTAACTTATTGTTCCCAAACAAGAGTAATATTATAAGAGTTCAAAGAATGTGTACATTCAAGAATTGATAAAATAAGAGTACATTTTTTAAATTCATAAAATAGGAGCTCCAATTATTTTTCTATACATTAGAATCTTAAAAGGTTTACTGATATAATTTGTGGTTTAAAACTAGTCTTTCTGGAGTTCACCAATCCCTCTTAGGATTTAGTGGTTGTTGGTTGGCGCCTTCGCGACAGCTGCGGTGATTGCCTAGTAGTGGCAGCGGTATGTCTCGTTGCGGTTCATTTTTAGAGGTGGAAGTTGTACATTATATATGGACGTTTTATCCACTTATCTCTTTTTACTCTTAAAACTTTTAATTAACTCCTATTTTTACATTCTTACATTGTTTTAATTCTACTTTGAAATTATCTCTAAATGTTTTTGTCATAAGAGGAATGAATAAAATTGAAAAAATTGAAAGAAGAAAATAAAAAATGTCAGTAACGCAATAAAGGACTGAAGTAACAAAACCGAGCGGATATATGAAGGCTTAATTCAAATTGCAAAAATAAAAAAATACAGGAGTAGAGTGGCTATAGGGCATAGGAACCTAGGCATATGCATAGTCACCCATAGCAAGTGGGGTATCATCTTAAAAAATTATTTAATTGGCTTTAAATTATCTGAAAATATATTATTGTAAAATAAATTTTAGACATATACATAACAAAAATATTGAATATGTATTCTTTACAAAAAATATTCTTTATGAAAACATATTTGATAAAATAAATTTAGCTTTAAGTTGTCATTTTACTACCTCCGTCCCATTTATATTGTCCCGGAAGAGGGTGACACGATTATTAAGAAAAGTGGGTTTGTGTGATTGATATTAATTGATAAAGTAAGAATAAAGTAAGAATGATTTAGAACCACACAAACTTTGCCAAATATGATATGGGACAATTTAAGTGGGACTTACCAAAAAGGTAAAACGGGACAATATAAATGGGACGGAGGGAGTAGTTCTTTACAAGACTGAACAATTGAAATAACACTACGAGGCAAACATAAAAAAGAATAAACTAATTAAATAAAAAATGTTATATAAAATTTTTAGGGTTCTATATATAGGTGAGTAAAAATAAAACCTTGTTTCTCAACATCACACAAAATTTTGAGGAAAATGATTAAAATGAAAACACAAATATTGATGTAAATGATGACAATGAAAACAAAAATATGAGTGAGCATGTAGCCGGCACTAATAAATATCAAAATATATAGATTATAAACATGAGAAAGGCAATGGTTTAAATGAAAATGGATTTAACGTTTATTCAAATTAAATTTATTATGACTCAAGGAAATTAGACACTATGTATGACTAGAAATATATTTTTCTTAATTAGTTTTTGCATGGGGCATAAAATCCCTAAAAAATCTTGTACATGAGTGATCCTTTGAAAATCTATTGACGATTTCAACTTTTTTGTTGTTACGACAGGTTTCTATTGTAACTGGACTCGTCATTCTTCAGAATAATGCAGTGGTACATACAATACATTTTTCTCTTTTTAATTTTCTTTATATTATATATGTCTATCTATTTATACATTGTTGTATGTGTGAATTTAGAGTAAAAGTCAATGTGGAATGTGGCAAAATGTATTATGTATAGGGAGTTATACTAGGCTCCGGTTCACTACAATTTTTTAATATAAAAACCATTGGGTATTAGTGTATAAATTAGTCAAAACAGTTAAGAGAATTCATTGGTATCAGTCTGTTGATTCAAATCGTCGATGGTTAAATAGTTTCTTTAAACATCTCAAGCACCACCCTTAAAGTGACAATGTAAGACCGTTAGACCGAGAAAGGTTCAATACTTCAATGATGAGGAAATCGTTATTGTAAAACATGTGCATAAATAATACTACCTCCTCCATGAACATTGGAACCGAGGAGCTATTGCGATTATTAAGAAAAGTGAGTTTATGTGGTTGATATTGAATTGATAAAGTGAGAATAAAGTAAGAATAATTTAGAACCACACAGACTATCTTATCGAAAAGATAAGATGAGACAATCTTAATGAGATGGAGGGAGGAACCATTTGCAAAAAAAACAAGATTACCACATTCATGTTCAGAAGAAACAGAACTAAAAAAAAAGTTACATGGCCAAAGCAATAATCGGTTCGTCCCGACTGGATCTGAGCCAACCATATAGTGCCTAATTTTATGTCCAAGATTTTTGAGGATTAGATCTGATTAAAAATATTATAATTATTATTTAATTATGTTTTAAATAGGATTAGTATCTAACAAATCCAATTTACAAAATTATAGAAAAATATGATTACTATCAGCATAAGTTCAGTTTTATCTGATATGCAGTGATTTAGTCTAGTCCCAATCCAAAATTATATTGGTCAAGTTTTTGGAACAATAGTTTTGATCATTTTGATTCTTGTCTAGTCGATTCTGGCCTAATCCGGTCTTGGACCAAAATGGGACCCTCTTAAAGGACTTTGGGAATTTGTTTCCTAAGTTGCGTCATTTTTTAAACATGAACCTCTAGACTTATTGGTTTCAAATATCTTTAATCCGATCTATTGACCCCTAATCACTTCTCATCACTTCAAGTTGTACTATTGACACCTAGATAGAAATGTGGCTAGTTCATCACTCCCATTGTCTCTTAGCTCGTTGATTCTTGAGGCCTTGAACATTTTTTCTACATATCAATTTCTTCAAAATTCATTCTTTTCTTTCATTTGATCCTCAAACGATGGTTAGCATTCAGAACAATTGTAAATGATGGTTAGCATTAAGTTCGTTAGTAATAAGAGAGTAGTAGACCAATTGTAAAAAATATGGACAAGCAAAAAGACTTAAAATGATATGTAACAGAAGCTAGAGTTGGTAGTGTGTTAATACAGTTGATCGTTATAAAAAATGACTAAATATTGCTTATAGCTTTTTTCATGTTACACGTACTCTAGCATGTTGTTCTAAATGCAACATGATTTTAACATATTTTGTTACAATAATGGGTGATAGGACCAAGATCAAAGAGGAGTAGCAAATGGCATTGCCATGACTGCGATGTCAGTTTTCAAAGCTTTAGGCCCCGCAGGAGCAGGGACATTGTGAGTTTTCTTCCTTTTTCATGTAATTTTAGCTCATATATAGTTTGATTCAGATTTTTTCTACTATTTGCTACTGATAGTACGTTATATTTAATAGGAGTCTAATTAGGGTTCTCGATCATACTTTTATTATCAATATGTTTGGATTTTTTCCATTATTTCCAATACGCTTGAATGTCTGTATAATAAGTCTGATCTATGCTTGATTGAATGCTTTTTTAGATTTTCTTGGTCAGAAAAGCGTCAAGATGCAACTTTCCTTCCAGGTAATTAAGTTAATCTTGATCCAATTTGAGTCCCATGTCTGTTCTTGCATCATAAGCCATAGATATATTATAGAGTTCATGCTTTTTTCGACTTGATTCAATGGCTTCAGGTTTTAATGAAATGTATGAAACTAGATATAGAGCCCGTTTGGTAACACTGTTATTCGGTTTATCAGGTTTATCACCCAACTTGTTCACCAAACACGTAATTTTTTATTTCACGGGCTGAAATGTATAATAATAAGAAAAAATTACTTCGTACTTTATTAGGTTGAAGTAACCTAAAATGGCTGATTCTTATTATTTCAGCGCATGAAATAAAAAATTACGTTTTTGGGGATTCACGAAATATGATTACGTAATATGATTCACGTAATCTTTTCTGACTGTTTCGGCTGAAGTTACTGTAGAGGATCATTTTAGTTATTTTTACGTATAATTTTTTCTTTATTTAATTAATAAAATATATTTTAATTTTTTTTTATAAATCAACAGAATCAGCCAATACAACCACTTAAGCCAGAACTTCATAAATTTCAGCAGGATCAGCCGATTCAGCCGATTTCGGTGTTACCAAATGGGCTCATAGTTTGATATGATTTGTCAAATAAGTTTACAAACTGGTTGTATTGTTTGATCACCATTGACATAACTATTACCCAAAATTGTTGAATAACTGATGGATACTTATGCTTTCTATATATAAAAATACGCATGACAAAAATTAAGTAAGTGCTCTAATTGGGACTATAAATAATGTGATTTTCTTTAAACTGTTGTTTTTCTCTTAAATGCGAGTAATTACTAATTATGACATGCTTATATATACTATAATAATACTATGAAATTGATATTGTCATATTGATGTCAAGATATGACAGTATATATGATATCAAGATGACTACATCATTTTACTCCTATATAGGGAGATTAAACTACACATTTTTATTTTAGTCCTATTTTGACAAATTTTCCAACTTTCTTTTTGCCAAACTTAGAGCATCTCCAATGCTACAATGTGCACGGTGCACATGTGGCATGAGAGATAGCCACATAAATATTAGTAAATAAATTATTTCTCTCCTTATTTGAATGATTTTATAGAGTTTTGGTAAGTTTTTCTCCACAATGTCAAGGAGACCGTCTAAATGTTGACATTGAAGTTGACATTGCAGGGAAAAACATACCAAAATTGTATAAAATCATTCAAATAAAGAGAAAGATAATTTATTTGATAATATAGTGTGGCTATCTCTCATGCTACATGTGTACATTCTAGCATTGGAGATGCTCTTATGTTGGTCCCATACTTCTTTACCTCGTCTTACACCATGCATGTTAATCATTTAATAATAGTTCATTATGATGTTATGAAGAAATATTGCATAAATGTGATTGAGTGTATATCTTAACTATATTTATCAAAAATTGCATGTAGGCAACCAAATGACATTCTTTGCTCTCAATGTAATTAACGGTATGGGTGTGCTGCTCACGTTTAAACCATTTCTTGTCGAACGATACACGTATCAAGCTAAATTATGAAGGAAGTGTGTGTGACATGTTGTTCACGTATTTCACCAAGAATGGATTGCACCATGGTTATTGTGGAATTTCAAGACAACTTTATTTTTCCTTACGAAAATAGTGTGCATTTTTTATTTTTCAATTTAGTTCACTCCACTAGATATTGTTTAAGCTTGATATACTTACTCTTCTGTTCAATCCAATTTAGATTTATAGATCCATCAATGTATTTTATCAACTAATATATAGATCGATCATCAGAACTATTTGTCCGCATTTAATCTATGTAGATTCACGTCACTATTAGCAACTCTGGCGTTGTGTGTCTCTACTAGTAACTTACTAATTTATCCAATTTCAAGCAAAGACAACAATTACCTACATGCCTATGATTCATAATAAAACAGCCCCTCAAACACTTCGATGGGACTGCAATGAAAGAGCGTCCCATGTACTAATTGTTATCAATTTATGATATTAGTAAAGAGCTTCCCATTGCATTAGCATAACATAATGTATTTGTTGAAATATTATTGAATTAGTCATCTTCTAACTATTCCTGATTAGGAATTATTATCACCATTACATAAATAATTAGGAAATCATAATTGTGATTTCAAGGTGATAAATGTGTGGCTCACAATGATCTCCTAATCTCATTGAGCTCACACTTTCTCCTATAAATAGGAGTCATTCTCATTGTAACTAAGATTACACCATAATCACTCCTCTATCACACTCTTAATAATATCTCTATCACTAACTGTTCATACTATACTTTCTCTCCTTGATCTTCTGCTTATTTCCTTCCATTTTATAACACATTATCAACACGAATTTGCTCCACATCCCTGAAATCATCATCTTCCTAGCAGGTATATATTTTCAGAAATTTATCAATTCATCATCTGAAAAGAAAATCAGAAGTTTAGTAGTATGAACATGTTTATATATATTCAAAACTATAAGAAGTATGCTCTATGGTTGCCCAACAATTGGGATCCTCCATATCAGAAAATTATAACTATATTCTATATAAAAGAAATATAAGATGATGGAAGAAAGAAATAAATTTTTCTTTTCTCTTGACATTTTCTTCCAAAATACGAAATATTATATGCCCCGTAGTATATAAATCTTACGAAATAGGGAAGATGAAATAGAGTGAAGTAAATAAGTCAGTTGACCATACAAATATTCAACATATTTCATAATGATTTTCTGGGCAAATCAGATTGAAAAGAAAATAAATTGAAGAAGTACATACCTCTTGTTGAATACTCGAACTTCTTTGAAGAACTGATAATAAATGAAAACTGCTCTTCTTTCAATAAATCGTTTATACTCCATAAATCTTTGACTATACTCATATTTAAATAAAACGGAGTTTAAATACAAAGTAAGATAAATTTGTAAACTATCTTTATCTACTTGTAAAGACTTCTGGAATAAACTAAAATAGATCGCAACTAAAAGGATAATTTCTGAAGGATGTTCTCATTTATATATACCGATCAAGAGGATCTAAATGGATTGTTATTTATTTTGGTCAGCATGGCTTCGACAGACTGTTTTGTTTTCTTATATTAAATTTTCACCAGCATTGCGTGTGTTTTCTGATACTGCATATTTAATGTGTAGTGGAGTATATATCTACCAATCTGCCAAGAAGTCACGGGAATATAATAGAATGGTGCTCATTCACATACAAGTCTAAAAATTATCAAATAATGTATATTGATGATTAAATTTCATAAACAAACAAAAAGTGGATGATGTATGAATAGAAATGCATGGTACGTAGCAGGTCATCTGCACAACAAATTTTGTTTTATATATTCAATAATGATCTGAACCATACATTTAATTCAGAATACTTTTTGTATATATTAATTAAAAGGAATTTGTCAATTGAAATATAAACTTCGGTAAACTTTTGTAAGAAAGTCACGGACCACCCATTTTTTTTTCATATATCGGATTATTAATCAATATAAATATACATCGTATATTATATATATATACATATATATGTTGACTATACATATGCTCTGTCATAAATAATAATAATGTCCAACAGTCAAAATTATAGACTACTAGTCAGTGACCGTAACTTTACAAAAATAATTTTAGCAATACTATATGTAGTTAATTAATGATGTACTACATAAAATCAATATTTATTGATTAAAATATCATGAGATACGTTCAACTCGATTTTAGAGAAGAATATTGTTTACGTCTTATTATTTAATGTAATACTACGTGTGTGTGTGTATATATTTACTCCTACTAATTAAAACTAAATTTATAATTTGTGTAGTAGATTATGGCACATATTAGCAAAAGAGAGTTCGACGTCCTTGATTTATCTGGCCAAAAGTATTTGGAATGGAAAGTCGGCGCTTTGGCACATTTAAAAGCAAATGTCCTTGAAAATACAATTGCTGAAAATAATTGAGCCACTCCCCAAAATAAGGCAAAAGCCATCATCTTTCTTCGTCATCATCTTCATGAAAGTTTGAAATCTGAGTATTTATTGGTAGATGACCCTAAAGAATTATGGGATAATCTCCAAGAAAGGTATGGCCATCAACAAAAGGTCCTTTTACCAAAAGCTCAATATGACTGGATTAATTTACGATTCCAGGATTACAAATCTGTAAGTGACTACAATTCTGCTTTGTTCCAAATAACATCAAAACTAAAGTTATGCGGACAAAAAGTCACTGATGCTGAAATGTTACGTTGGAGAAAACTTTGTCCACTATGCATGTTTCAAATGTGCTTTTACAAGAGCAATATAGACAAAAGCATTTTCAAAAGTATTCTGATTTGATATCAGTATTACTATTTGCTGAGACGAATACCGACATTTTGATGAGAAACCACAATATGAGACCCACGGGTTGTGGCCCGGTTAGTTTTGGTCCACCAAATCATGGTTCAAAACATGAATCAAATGCAACCCATAGTGGTGCTTGTGGACATCTCAAACGTGGTCGTGGTATTGGTCGTTATAATGGACCTAGCTGGGGAAACAAACAGAGTAGTAGCTCATTTTACAAAGGCAAGGGTAAGCAAAACCCCCATCAAACAAAGAGCCCGACGAAATCTTCAGAAAAGGCCAAAGTCACTTGCTTTAAGTGTGGCACGTCGGGACATTGGGCAAATAAGTGTCGTACACCTAGACACTTGGTTGATTTATATAAATCATCTCTAAAAGGAAAGAATGTGTAAACTAATTACGTCAACGAAAACGATCCACCAATGCCCACATTCAATGTGTCTGATTTCTATATGGACGATAATGAGATGAACACCGACATCATTATGGGTGAAAAATAATAAATAAGTAAATAAAAAGGAATTTGAAATAATTCTGTTATGTAATATATTCTACAATAAAAGTTTGTTTGTATTGTAATTTTTATTTGGTGTGCTTATTTCGATTGTAAATGTTATGTACATTTTAATGAATAAAGCCTTGTTTATATTACAGTATTGAACTAATATTTGATTTTTTCGAAGATATGGAGTTAACTAAAATTTCTTCAAGTGACTCTGAACAATGTCTAATAGACAGTGCCACAACGCACACCATTTTGAGACATAGAGATTATTTTTATCATATGACATTAGTTAATGCTAATGTCAATACAATCTCAGGTGTTGCTAAACTCATTGAAGGTTCTGGAATAGCCTGTGTGATTCTCCCAAAAGGGACAAAGTTAATAATTAAAGATGCTTTATACTCTAGTAAATCACGGAGAAATCTTTTGAGTTTTAAAGATATGCGTCTAAATGGTTTTCATATTGAAACCATGTCTGAAAATCAGAAGGAATATTTATGTCTAACGACAAAGAGATCTGGCAATAAATATATTTCTGAAAAAATGCCAGCATATTCCTCGGGACTGTATGATACATATATCAGTCCAATTGAGATAAATGTGGTATCTAAAATTTCTGACCACAATTCTTTTGTCTTGTGGCATGACCGTTTAGGTCATCCAGGCAGCACTATGATGCACAAAATTATTGAAAATTTACTTGGACATTCATTAACTAATGTCAAGATTCCACAATCAAGTGATTTTCCGTGCACTGCCTGTTCTCTTGGCAAATTAATTATCAGGCCATCTTTATACAAAATTGGAGTTGAATCTCGTGCATTTTTAGAAAAGATTCAAGGAGATATTTGTGGGCCAATTACCCCTCCGTGTCGACCGTTTCGATATTTTATTGTGCTCATTGATGCATCAACACGTTGGTCACATGTCAGTCTTTTATCGACTAGAAATTTTGCATTTGCAAATCTCCTTGCTCAAATTATTCGTTTGAGATCACAATTTCCGGATTATTCAATTCGATAAAGAAAATCCGACTTGATAATGCAGGAGAATTCACTTCCCAATCTTTTAATGACTATTGCATGTCAATTGGGATTGATGTGGAACATCCAGTTCCACATGTACATACGCAAAATGGTCTTGTCGAATCCTTAATTAAGCGATTACAATTAATTGCTAGACCATTATTGATGAAATCCAGATTACCATCATCTGCATGGGGATATGTTATAATGCATGCTGCAAATTTAATTCGGCTTAGGCCAACGGCATATAATAAATTTTCCCCATTACAATTAATATCTGGTAAAGAACCAAATATATCACACCTAAAAATATTTGGTTGTTCTGTGTATGTACCAATTGCTCCACCTTATCGTACTAAAATGGGTCCTCAAAGAAGGCTGGGAATTTATGTCGGTTTTAAATCACCCTCAATTATTAATTATCTAGAACCTATGACCGGTGACTTATTCACCGCGCGGTTCGATGACTGTCATTTTGATGAGACAATATTCCCAGCCTTAGGGGGAGATATTAAAGAAATGGACCCACGTACGAAAGATATTACTTGGAATGCAACAAATTTATCTTTTCTTGATTCTCGCACAAATGCTTGTGAACAAGAAATTCAAAAGATTATTCATTTACAAAATGTTGCAAACCAATTGCCTGATGCTTTCACAGACTCAAAGAAAGTGACAAAGTCACATGTTCCAACTATGAATGCTCCTTCTCGAATAGAAATTCCTGCAGAGATTAGCGAAAGAACTCCTGCTAATGAATCTATGATACGTAAAAAAACGTGGTAGACCACTTGGTTCAAGAGATTTGAAACCAAGAAAATTTAAACAACAAGTTGTAGTTTGTGATGTCAAAGAAGTTCAACCTTCTCAAGAAGAAAATGAACATTTTGAAAATATCGGCCTTGAAGATAACATCAATAATAAAGATACCTCAAAAGAGGATCCAATCACCTTCGAAGAGGTAAATATTCTAGATAAAGATAGAAACGTCGATAATTTCGAAATTTCAATTAATTACGTTTCTAATGGAATACAATGGAATAGAAATGATATTGATGTTAATGATATATTTTCATATGCCATTGCCACAAATATAATGAATGAACATGATGACAATGAGCCTAAATCTATTGACGAATGTCGTTGTAGAAATGATTGGCCAAAATGGAATGAAGCAATTCAGGTAGAATTAAAATCGCTAGAAAAGCGTAATGTTTTTGGACCAATTGTTCATACGCCAAAAGGCGTAAAACCTGACGGTTTTAAATGGGTTTTTGTGCGTAAACGCAACGAGAAAAATGAAATCGTTAGATAAAAAGCCCGACTTGTTGCCCAAGGTTTTTCTCAAATGCCAGGAATCGATAATGATGAGACGTATTCTCCAGTAGTTGATGCTACAACTTTTAAGATTTTTAATTGGCATGTCTATTTTTGAAAGGCTTCAAATGCGCCTAATGGATGTAGTGACCGCATATTTATACGCTTCACTCGACACAGACATATATATGATTAAAACAATCTGGATGCATTTGGTATAACCGTCTCAGTGAATATTTGATTAAAGAAGGATATAAAAATGATCCTATTAGTCCATGCGTTTTCATTCAGCGATCCGAATCAGGATTCGCCATGATTGCAGTATATGTTGATTATTTAATCATTATTGAAACTCCCATTGAAATTGAAAATACTGCAAAATATCTCATGAAAGAATTTGAAATGAAAGGTATTGGGAGGACAAAATTTAGTCTCGTCATTCAAATTGAACATTTGAGAAAGAGTATTTTTATTCATCAATCAAAATATACCAAGAAACTTTTGAAGCGGTATTACATGAATAAACCACACCAGCTCAATTTTTCAATAATGTTTCGATCTCTCAATATGAATGATGATTTTTCCGACCTTCTGAATGTGATGAATAAAACCTTGGTCGTAAAATAATATATTTGAATGTTAGATATTTGAAGCATTAATGTATTTGGCTAATATAATACTTGACTAGATATTTCTAGCTTTTTCTATAAATTTGTTAGCCAGATATAGCGCAGGTCAAAGGACGTTACATCAAAGGGGAGAGAACAAAGCGTACAACACCAACACTTTTCTCCACACATGATTTTGAGAAACAAGGAACGGTTGATGTCAAACAAATCAAGTCCAGTGACAATCCTGCTGATTTATTTACAAAATCATTGGCACCGAAGAAATTTGAAGAACTAGTCCACAAAATTGGAATGTGTCGTCTTCGAGATATATGTTAAATTGAGGGAGAGTAATATAATGCACTGCACTCTTTTTCCCTTCGTCAGGATTTTTTTTCCCACTGGGTTTTTCCCTGACAAAGGTTTTTAACGAGACAGTACATTATAATACTATGAAACTAATACCCCTGAATAATTAGAAGATGACCATTCAAGGGGGAGTGTTGAAATATTATTGAATTAGTCATCTTCTAACTATTCCTGATTATGAATTATTATCACCATTACATAAATAATTAGGAAATCATAATTGTGATTTCAAGGTGATAAATGTGTGGCTCACAATGATCTCTTAATCTCATTGAACTCACACTTTCTCCTATAAATAGGAGTCATTCTCATTGTAACTAAGATTACACCATAATCACTCCTCTATCACACTCTTAATAATATCTCTATCACTAACTGTTCATAATATACATTCTCTCCCTGATCTTCTACTTATTTCCTTCCATTTTATAACAGTATTGAATTAAAGATTTCAAGTTATGTAATTATTGTTGCTATATAACTGCCTTACAGTTGGAAATTAAAGATATTAAAAATGCCTAATGATTAATATCTATCAATTCTATGTAAAGGTGACCTCATACTAGCTAGGTAATAGAATATTAGAATATACATTTTTTTCTCTTAATAAATCACAACGTTATTGGTATGTCGACATGTCATTTTCAATTCAACGACTTTGACACTATCATATCTTAAATATGTAATGGTAAAAAATGGTTGACGGTTTTATATTTTGGGACACCACAATTCTTTTTTATTCTCTAATTTTGAGTATCAATTTTGTATCACATTTGGATTTAGTTTTTTTCCTTTTAGTAGAACTTTCGATATAATACCCATATATCTAAACACTAATTGGCAAGATTATTTTAAATTTGAGTCATAAAAGATTTAACATTATGATTATATCTTCGTCCTTTGAGTACCACTGTCCATGTCCCTTCATTACCCAAAATATCCATTTTCTTTATATAATCTGATCTTCTTAAGTCCTATATAAAAATTTTGAGTTTACACTACTTCGGATTTGATACTTTGCCACATAATATTTCATTAAATTTCAGCACACCTTGAGATTTGATTTTTGTTTTTAATTTTCCGCTCACTTCATCCGGTAGACTTGTTCAAAAGCTAATGTAGGGTTCTTGTTGTTTTGGATCATGAGTGTGAGCCGTCTTAGCTCAACCCATGACAAGGGATCCACATAACATGCCAATATTCAACCATATGTGTACGTAGCTGGCCTAAAATAATCATTGAAAATTTTTTATTTTTTTTAAAGAGAACTCTTGAAATTATTTGAAAATGTTCATCATGCGCACACGAATTTATTTACTTGTATGTACTTTAACCTAAAAAAAAATGATTGTATACATGAATACATTTAAATAAACGACACACACAAATAAGTTGACATTGTATACACACTTATTGGGTCATTACCTATTTACCTTTAATTTAATGAAGTTCCCATTTTTTCATTGTAAAATGAATTGATATAAAATTTAAATTCAAAACTAAATTTGATTATACATATGCATTAATCATTTCTTTTTTATCATCAAAACATGTCTCTATTCATATTAAAAGATTCAGGATCATTACATCAAACCAAGGGAAAAAAAACCTCACACCAACTAAACTCCAACAACTAAGACTGTAAACCCTATGATCAGACTTTGAGACGGTCACCCCTGAGAAAGCAACACGAATCGCTAACCATGTAGTGGGCTTGACACAACCAAATTTGTTCCCATAGATCCAAACATACCCAATGACATAAAGAGGGGCTAAAAACTCAAACAAACTGTCAAAACCAATAACAAAAATGGTCACAAGAAAACAAATGACAAACAGATAAAAATTACTAGAAAAACTTTCACGGACTCTAGCATATCGTACAACCCATGGTGGTGGTTCAGGAGGAGGTCGTACCACTGGTACCATGCTAATTGATCCTCCATGACCTTTATCTGCCAACGACCAGGCATCAATCCTCCGTCCCTGCACAACCAAACTCATCCCTGCTCCGTGCGACCAGAGTAAACGGACAAGCAGTGCCGATCTCCTTAAACGACGACAGCAACATCGCATCCTCGAACCATGATAGCAGCGCCGATCTCCTCGAATCATGACAACAATACTGTCCTCCTCCAACGATCTCCGCCCTCTGCGCCTGACTTGGACTCCAACCAAGCACCAACGACACAAGGGATAGCAAATCCGATCTTTGACAAGCCGAAAATCGAAAAAAAAAGGCTCCAGCGGCCGAAGCCCTAGATACATATGCATTAATCATTAGTGCATGTGTTTAGTGTTTATGCTACACACATCTATAGATAATCTATAGATAATATATTTCAAAGATACAATTTTGGAAAGTTTTGACATGTATCATCTTCTACTAAGCAAAGCTTTAATATTCTAAATTAGAAATAGAAATTAGAATCGGTAGAATGTTAGGATATATGAAGTATTCAAGATTTGCAATTACAATTTCTATTACGTTTGGATTACACGTAACTTAGGAATCTCCAACAAAAAAAATCTCTATTTTTTAAAATGATATAACTTCTTCATTTGTAATTTGATTTTTATAAAATATATATTAAAATTCATGATTTTTTATTACCTTTCATATGACACAGTAATATACCACATGTAAAAATAAAAAGAATTTTGAATCAACAAAACAACTCAGTTAAAAAATTGGAAAACATAAAGGACACTAGCTTTACCCAATAAAAAAGGACACTAACCAACAGGGAGAAAGTAGAAGCTACATGTTTGGGACCCCCAACTTAAAAAATCTTTTTTAAAAATTGCTATAATTTTATATATTTATAATTTGATTTTAACAAAAAAATCAAAATTTACAATTTATTATTATCTTTCGCATGACATAATAATTGCATATATAAAAATATAAATAAATCTAAATTTATGGTTGATGGAAGTCTTTTATTTATTGTTAGAAAGTGTCAATAGAAAACACTTGTGATCCACTTAATTTTAGAATTGGGATCCACCCAAGAAAAATTTTGAGCCTAAAACCCTCTATCAAGTATCAATCTATAACTAGATTTGTTTATTTTATACATTAAGAAAAGATAATAATAATGTCAAGTACGTTGTGGTCTGATGGCATCGTCACTGCTGATCTCCCAAGGAGGAGGTTGTAGGTTCGAGTCTCATCCCAATCAAGGATGTTGGCATTAACCTGAGCAGATACTATAATAGGTGATAGAGTATATGGGCCCGGACCCCATGGCCCACATACTCAAGTCAACGACAACCAGAACACCCACGTGGCCCCCTTCGGCCAGTGGGACCGCATCGGCCAGAAACCAAACCGGCCCAGGAACCACGCATGGACTGCCGGGAACGCATCGGCCCATGGGACCGCATCGGCCATGGGACCGCATCGGCCA